TTTGGTGTCACGTTCAGTTATTCATGACTGTAAATATGAATCCCCGGAAGTTATGATGTCGTAAGTCCAACTTACAACTCACACATAAGTTGTGTCTGTAGACTGACATTAGTTTCATAAATATACACTTAGCCTAACATCCTGTTCAGCCGTTGACACTAGCCTAAGTGTATATGTATGAAACCAATGACAGTCCACAAAACACAACTTCCTACTCACAACTTCCCACTCCAACTCACAACTCTTGCAATGCAAGGTAGCTTTGATAGTACATGAATATTATTATTATTATTATTATTATTATTATTATTATTATTATTATATCCCGCCTCTCTGTAAAATACAACTGAGGCAGCTTACATGATAAAACAAACAATCTCATCTCCAATAGCCCACCCCCTAAAATACAATTAAACAAACAAAATATAAAAACATAATTAAAAATTACAAACAATAAATAATTTAAAACAATGTTGTGTTGACACAAAATGGTTGTCTTTGTTGGCTGTCAGCCAAACCTAATGTCCTTAATATGCCTGGAATTCAGAGCTATGAACATTTACCTTTTGGGATCATAGCAATCAGAACTTTGCAGGCAGCATAAGAAACTTTTCCAAATTCTGTTCTGGATTACCTAAATCACTAATGCTCCAGTTGCTCCAATCTGGCCTGTTCTTTAACTTTCTGTCTTCTCTTCTTGTCTGATGCATGTACGTAATAGGTTTTTTGTGGGTTTTTTCGGGCTGTGTGGTCATGTTCTAGAAGAGTTTACGTAATGCTGTTTACGTAATCATGTTTACGTAAAGAGTTTACGTAATCATGTACGTAATGCTTTCTTGATTGATGTTATTGCCTGACTTCCAGATACTGACCCCAGCTTGACCATGTTATATTTGTTTTAGGAATGAGAATTAAAAGAACATGTTGCAGGCATTACCCAGATCCTGGCTTCAGATTCATTGCTTCTTAGCAGATTCTTAATAATCATCAGCTACGTTTCTGATGGTTCTCTACTGTCTGACTTGGTCTTGTCTGGAGAAGAACTAAATGCTTTGTTATGCTGTGTGAGAAATGAAAACCAGCCTGCACTGATAATGTAAATTTCCACATGCAAAAAGTCAATTGAAATGTATGATTAAAGGCTAAATGTGTATTCAAACTAACAACATCTTCTCTGTCATCTTATTAGCTGATCACGACACCTAAAGCTGACAACACCATGTATATTCAACAGAGGGATGAGTATTTGGAAAGCTTTTGCAAAATGGCAACAAGAAAAATTTCAGTCGTCACCATCTTTGGCACCACAAACAACAGCCGCATGAAGATTGATCACTTCCAGCTAGGTTGGTTTTTATTCATTTATTTATTTAAAAAAGAAACTTCTTTTTGAGCAAGAGAACCATGTAAAGAAGGGTTTTAAAGAGAGTCCCTGTTGTGGTAGCGTACTTCTCTTTCCCTCTTTGTTGGGCACAGTTGGCCCTGGTATTTCTTTTTTACTTTTCTAAGGCAACACATTCAAATTCATGGAACAACTCTGCCAGTTTATGAAGCCAATGAAAAAGCAAAAAACACAAAAGTGTGACTTGGGCAAACCAGGGGTCAAAAGGCCATTTGGTTCACTGCTAGAAACATCCCCTTTACCTACATTTTGTATGAGAGTAGCTTGCTTCACGTTACTCACATGAACAACCTGAGCATGTTGAAAGAAGCTGAGGATTTATACTTTGATCCGTACCCTCAGTGCATAGCAGCTCCTCCTAGCTTTACACTCAGTACTACCATGTTATTGTGGACATTGCCTTTCCATATATACCTCTATGAATGGAAGCTTCCCCATGTAAAGAGGACTTTCATGATGATTCATAGATATGTGAAGGGCACCTAAAAGGCTGACCATGTTGGCTGATGAGAGTGGTAAATTCTTGAGTTTGTTGATCCAAAATGCAACCTACTGTGTAGATTATAAACAGTTCCCACCTGAACCAGCAAACAGGTCTTTTGTAAAATTAATGGCCATAATGGCTCATTCAAGACTAAGCCACCAGAGTTTGGAATATGGCTATGCTGAGCGGGAGATTCTGGGAGTTGTAAAAAAGTTAACTTTTCCAAAATGCTCAAGTTGCACCCCCTGTGGGTTTTCCCTCAGGTGATTGCCTACAGTTGCCAATAAATATGGAATTTCCATCCTTTGTATGGGGGTTTCACCCTCTATCCCACTGCTATCGTCACCAAACGTGGGAGTTTTCCAACCCTTATTCCACCAACTGTGGGGTTTACACCTGGGCAATCCTGCCAGTACCCCGACTATGAGTATTCTTCTCAGGCAGTCCAACTACTGTTGCCAAATGTGGGATTTCTATCCTTTAACCCACCAGCTGTAAAGACTTCCATAGTGATCACTACAGTTGCCAAGAGAGAGGGCTTTCCCTAATCCCCACCTCTGGCACCATGGAAGGACTTCCTCCTGTCCTACCTATTTGACACCTGGGGACTGTCTAAATGCCTCCAAGGTACCCATGGGGACTTATGCAACTTATATCCTCAATGGCTACCACCCTTCTATAATCAAGGCTGCTGCCACAGACACCATGTCTGATTCCAAGATTTCAGACAGATAACATTTCTGAAGACCAAAAATATATAAAAACAAAAACAAATCTTTATTTACAGAAGTTTATTTATTACATTCAAAACATCACACACACGCACACATATCCTGCTGAATTACTCAGGACTTTATCACATCAGGCTCTTTTCCCACTAAAATTGTATTCTTTTCAAAAGCGCTATGCAATTGGGACTACTCACTTGTTTATCACACCCTCATAATCCTTCCAGCATTACAGCCTTTGTTTGTGCTAATACCTTATCACAGGGGTAGGCAACCTTTTTGAGCCGGGGGCCGGGTTATTGTCCCTCAGACAATTGGGGGGCCGAAGCACAAAAAATAAAAATTAAAATAAAAATTAAAAAATTAAAAAAAATTAAAAATATGCATGCACATTCTCTCAGCCCC